GGAGCGCCTCTAGCTTACAAAAATAGATATTGTTATGTCCTGGATCAGCATTGATGTTTCTGCGTCCTCCTAATGTGACGCATTCTGTTTTATGGTGGGGCGAGCTTGTGTGTTTTATTTTCTTTGAATAGCCTATCTTCTTCTGAATCTGTAGGTCCGGTGTTGTTTACAATGCCTGAAATTCCTGAGCCCCACTGTTGTATCTGTCGCCTCCGCTCAAGTCAGCATGGTAAGCAGAATGTGACATCCCCGGGTAGAATCGATTATTGTTGGAGTGAGGAACAACATTCATTGCCTACAGTGAAGGCAATGTGTATCACGGTCTCCCCACTAAAGTGCAGCACTTCCAAGTCATAAGCAGATTCTCCCTGTGACCCCTTGACCTAATCAAGGCAAGAACAATATTTGGCGATATCAGCGAAGAAAAACATTTGTGGGTACAGCCGCTTGAATAGTGATTTAGAGCATGTCAGTTTTTTTTTGTGGAGGAGTTCAATAGCCTGTGCAACATTGTACATCAGTAAATATTTCTGTGTTCCGTTTTCATCTCATCTCAGAATTAAGGTCATCACTGAATTGGAAGGTAAAGGTAAAGTGTTGACAAACTAATTGGGCACAGACTGAAGCCCGGAAATGATACAAAATGAAAAGCACACAAAGATTTGGCTTGACACATGCAAACCAAAACACGTGCACTCGCGGATTTCGACATTGTCAAATCCGTAAACACAGAGCGGGCACACGGTCATTTCAACCCATTGCTGGCGATGTCCATCCCGGTAGACCGTAAACGCGAGTCGGTTGTGCTTCACAGACTTGCTGCTGTTACACAAAAGCTTGGGAGGACAACCTGTCACCGTTCTTTACCAGACAGAATCAAAAGCCGAGAGCCCAAGGTATCCCCCACGCACTTGTCCACTGGTAACAGCTTCCCGGCTGTCGCTGCCTAACTTCCCCGCGTTTGTAAGGAATTAATACCAACCCGCAGAGCATGAATGATTGCAGTCTGTTTACCGCCTCATTGTTTCCCGCACACGGTAGATTATTTAGCAACACCAAAATGTAATACAAATGGAAAGTAAACGGTTTCTGGAGAAATGGGAAATAAAATGATTCAGTGCTCTCCGGGGCAGGGGTTCCTGTTTAATAATAAAGGGACAAAGAGAGTAATATGGGTGGCATTTGCTGCCTCTTTGGGACCTTGTTGGCAGCTTTTATAATGTCTTGTTTCCGCGCCCTTCCTCCACGCCTCCTGCTTTATTTACTGTAAGTGTTCAGGAAACAGCCCGAGTCTATTTCACGCTGTTCAAATTCTACGGCGGCCCAGGGAGAATCCACCCAACAGGTGCAGAGGGGTGGTTGGAAAGGTACGGCAAAATTAAGTCACAACAACACTCTTCTGTTTTAAGCCCCTACGCTTTTATTTATACCCGTCAGCTGTGTGGATGTTCTCCTAAATGAGGGTCCAGAGCTGAGATGGGGTTGGGGCTGCTGCAGGAAATTAGGGGAAAGATTTGGAAACGAATCTCTAGGATTCCACCAACAACCACCCCCCTCCTCCTCCTCCGCAGGTTCCTCCCACCCCCCTCTGTGGAGATGGCTGGATCGAGTAGCGATATGACAACAGGTCTCCGGATTCTCTGGAGATTTAAGGGGGTGCTCGGGTGATTGGTCATGACAAACGCGAACTACCTGGGCGCCTGAAACTTTACCAGAGAGAGAGAGTGAAAAAAAACAACCTCAACTTAACTGAAAGCGACCTCCGCTTTCCAATCACTTAACCAGACCAGGTTCAAGGTGCTGAGCAAGCTGTGTAGAGAGTTGGGGGGAAAAGAACCATTTATTCCCGTTTGTTGTTTTTATGTGTGTAACGTAACCTCTCTTTCAACCATTCTCAAGTCATTGATACCTGTGATCCTCCTCCTCGGGAGTTTTTCTGTGGAAGTCAGCGGCCCAGCGATAGAGGCGACTATGAACTTGGAAGTTCTGGGCGAGAGGGGTTTCGTGGATAAAGCGGCCGCAGTCTGCAGTGACTCAGAAGGCAGTGTCCCCTCACCCCTGTCCGCGGAAGATGAGCTGGGGTCCGATGGAGACTGTACGGCCAACAGCCCGGCTCCCACCAATCCGGGCTCCGAGGGGAAAGGCAAAACCTACACCAGGCGCCCCAAGCCTCCTTACTCCTACATCGCTCTGATCGCCATGGCCATTAGAGACTCTGCCTCCGGCCGCCTGACCCTGGCTGAGATTAACGATTACCTGATGAAGAAGTTCCCCTTCTTCCGTGGCTCTTACACTGGCTGGAGGAACTCTGTTCGCCACAACCTGTCCCTCAATGACTGCTTCGTCAAGGTGCTTCGTGACCCATCCAGACCCTGGGGGAAGGACAACTACTGGATGCTGAACCCCAACAGCGAGTACACCTTCGCGGACGGGGTCTTCCGCCGGAGGAGGAAGCGTATTGGCCGCAAACTCCTCAAGGAAGCCGCCGGCCCTGGAGACAAACGCCTCGATCTCATGCCTTCAACATCCAGCAAGGATGAAGGAGCCAAGTTCTCCAGCTCGTTTGCCATCGATAGCATCCTGAGCACGCCGTTCCAGAGGCGAGAGGACAAGGTGGCGGTGGACGGCGCTACTAGGCTGTTCTGGACCAGTAGACCGCCTCTACCTTACCCTCTCCTCACCTACAGCCCCACCGGCCCGGTACCAGCTTTGTTCCCCGTGAGCCCCGCCGCTAACTCCATGCTGCAGCCTTACCGGCTCGCTGCCGCCTCCCAGCCCGGCTTGCTGGTCCCCCGGCTCTCTCATTGCACCAACTCCAAATGCATCCCGGACACGATTCCGAGCACGGAGAACTTCCCCTGCGTCCGATTACCAACGGCGATGCATCCTCAGACCTACCACCCCTACAAGATCGAGTCTTTCATCGCCTAGAAGGTGAACTTTAATAAGAACAAACTTCAAAAGAGGGAGAGAAATGGAGCCTCTCTTTCCGCACTTTTGTTTCTAGAACTTTTAATAGAGACTCTATGTTGTTGTTGTTTTAACCCTGAGCATCGCTGTGGACCTGACAAATATTTTGGTTGGAATTTTATTTGTCCCCAATATTTGCTCTTCTGTATACCGACAAAGCCAGTTGTCCTCGTCGTAACATAAAGGAACACTATATTACAGGGATTGTAGTAAATTCATTTCTGAACAGATAGATTTTTTTTTCTTAAGAAATAAAAGTGTGATCAACTGGTTATCAGAATTTCTGCCTCAAACGATGGCATCACTGTGTGCCAAATAAGTAGCTAACCTGATTTTTAAAAACATAAATATTTATAATTTTGATTTCCAAACAAGAGGTAACCAGATAGGCTTTTTAATGTTGTGGTTTTAAACGGTTTAATTGATGACAATGCTCCAAACGAGTGAATGAGTTTGATAGATCTCAGTACTTCAAGACGGGACCACTGCCAATGTAAGCAGGTGATTTTTTTTGTGTGTATTTTTTTGGTTTTGTTTATTAAAAGACGCATGAGCCTTATATTGTAAAATAAAAGCTTTGATAACAAACCCCATTACCGTGTGACGTGCACTGATTTGACAATTGATTGGGTTCCATCTCTGCCGTTTGAAAAGTGGGTGGGGAAAACAACCGTATCAGGAAAAATGAAGTGAAATAACAAGAATCGGATTGTTTTCTTTTAATTCTTCTTTCAAAAGCCTGTGCGTGTTGAAATGAGAGAGAGGGAGATCAGATTATGAAATGCGATTTGGCTTGAAACGTTTGGGGCGGAGCCAAAACAGGTTGTTTATGCGTTTCAGCCTGGGAGTATAATCCCTTTTTTTTAAAAAAAAGGCAAAGGTTTCGCAGTTTTCTATCATTAAACTCGTGTTAATCAGGAACAACCCTGCACCGAGTGAAATCCACGATTAATAGACTGATTCCCAACAAAAGAAATGACCATCACTTTAGGAGTTATCCAGTAAATTAAGAACGAGACTCCCTTTTAATTATTTTCTCTATTGTTGTGATGGATGCAAATACTAACACGTGGCATCGTGTTACCATGCTTTCAGGCCAGTTAATCTCAAACAATTAAAATTAACCAGAGGTACATCCACGGTTGAAACTTGCTCAAGGGCGCTTGCACAAATGAATCAGCTGGGAGTTTCTAACGAGCCTTGAATACATCTGGCCCACGCAGGTACTCAGTGTAGTATTTTAAGAAGGAATCCAATGACATCAGATCGGAGCCAGGAGCTGAAAAAGATGGTGGCTTTTCAATGTGGGTATCTAACGTGAGGGCTGGTACGAGAGAGCGGCGTGTAAACCTTCCAACAGTATGCAAACAATTTAAGGGTGCACAGACCTTAATGCTCCCTCACGGTCCTGGGACCTCAAAAAGGGTTTATGTACGTTTTTGCACCCCTTCTCTGCCCCCTCCCACTCAACCAATAACTTTCCAAACAAAACAATGCATTCTCGACCATTCACATTCAGGGGTCCGAGTCAATGGGATCAAAATGTAAACAAGTTGAATCCTATCACAACATCAAAGTATCTGGTGCAGCTGATGCACATACTTCTTCTCTGGTATGTATGTCTGCTTCACACCAACCACGCGTAAACGTGAAGATCGCCCGGAGCTGCTCCACCTTGATGTAAACACTGGCTGTCTGTCCACACGTCCCTGTTGTCCTTCAGGAATGCTCGCCAGTGTGGCTATTCCCAGACACTGACATTCAACGGAGAAAGGCACCTCTTTGATTCAACCGTTCTCGGGAGCCGGAAGTGCTGTGTTAGCAGAGCTGAGAACATAAACTGTTACATACAGATTCTGACGTTTTGTTTTGACTATCTTATTGTATTTGAAAGTCATGTTGACCTGAGGATAATAAACTGAGAGGGGGGAAGAAACAGAGGTTTATAATGCAAGTAAATCTGCTCACGGAAGTGAGACAGGGTTTAAGGCACTAAACAGGCACGAAAAGAAGGTACTAAAATACACACGCACAGGTGTATTTGTCAGCAGCCACACGAGTTGAATGTTGCCTCAACAGTTCACGGTCGCTTGAGTTTTCGCCAATCAGTTACCAACCCATCTTGTTGAACCACTTTTTTTCAGGCACTCCCATAGCAAGCACTGAGAGTTAGCAATAGTACAGGATTCAAGTGAATTGTCTCTTTCATTTAAAGGAATGCAATTTTTTTTGCAATTAACAAAAAAATGGTATTTCGGACGAGTTGCAACGTGCGACCGATAGGTTAAATGAACATAGTGATTGTAACAAGCAGGTGATCGGTTAAACGTCAACAAGGTGGGGTTGTACTGGACAGGTGTTCAGTTTAACAGCGGATCGGAAGGTAATCTTACCGTTTGCATATTGTGCTACGGTTTAAAAAGGCGCCTTTGGATAGTCGCAGGGTTTGGTTAATACTCTATCCAGAGCAACCTGTTTGAAATAATTGGGGTGTAACCCGGCGAAGTTTTAGTAGATGTCACACTATATGCATACTTTGGAGACCGGGCAGACTGTTTATTCAAAGCAGCAATTAAAAAGAACGCAAACGTTTATTTTAGAAAGATTCCCAGTTTCCGTAAACACAGTTTAGATGAATGATCTGCCTGTATGAAAAATGTCTGTGAAAAAGGTAACTTGCTTTTGGAGTTGTTATTTATATTGAGGTTTTGTGGCGCCAGGGAGATGGTTCAACTAGTGTCGGGGAGGTCCAATAGTCTCCGTTTTGGCCCAATACAGGCAGCGAAGCGTGAATCAAAACGGGTGCTTTTTACATCACACCTGTAATTGAATAGTTTACCTGAGCTCCCTCGTGTTAAAGATTGAATGAATGATTTGTGTCGTTCAAGTGGTTGACACTTTTTTTTAATTTGTGTTTAAAATTAATTGTGTCTTGGCAGGTAAACGAAGCTAAGGTCTGTTGTCCTCAAACCTAAGTTACCTCCCTCCACTGCATATTTTAAGTGACATTTGACTGTAAAGCCGAGTAGAATCTGATGAAGGGCTTGCGCAAAGTGTCTAAGGCCTTGAGGGTTTGTAACTGCCGATGATTTCGCCTCTCCCCGGCTCGTTCACTTTGACCTGACTAACGCTGCAGAATTTTTTTTTTTTATAGATTTTAGTTCGTCAACTGTTTGGTCTTCGCCATGCGAGTTCTGTTAGAATCCATCGATCAACAGGGATGTCACTTGAGCTGGAACAACATAACTCGGTCTTCCGATCTGAGAACCCAGAGTTGCGGTCTGATACTTCCAAGGTCCACGAGAGAGAAACACACTAAAGCTTTCAAAGGCACAGTGGTGAAAAGCCATCATCTAAGGCCTTTCAGTCATAGTGTACCAATGAGCTGGTAACTTGTAGGGCCCGTGCTTGTGACAGAATGTATAGTTAATGTCATAATTTTGGATTTGGATTCAAACTCGAGTGCAAAGTTCTCAACTGAAAAACGTGTATTTTATTGTATTTTCTGAAATGTCCAATTTGATATGTTTTGTAATGTACTTAATTGTAGTTTATGAACAAAGCATATTTTTACATTAAAAATGATTATATGCCAAGGAATACGTTGTTACAGCATGAAAAACTTGAGAGGTTGCAATGTATGAAAATAATACTCGTCACAAGTAAATTTCTGTAAAGTTTTATAACTGGATCAAAAACAATTCCAGCAACCTAGGCATGAGGTAAACCCAGAGAAAGACTTCTGGAACAGGTGGAAGAACATTTAATAATGACCAATGGATACCCAGGTTTTTATTTTTTTTTTGTTTGTGAGATATGGGGCTTGGTGGTTGGTTCAAGACTTGTCCTTAATTGCCCTGGAGAAGCTGGATGTGAGCTGTCTTTCAACCACTGCAGTCCACTTTTTAAATTCATTTGTGGGATGGGGGTGTCACTAGCTAAGCCAGCATTTATTGCCCAGAGGGCAGTTTAAACATTAACCACATTGCTGTGGCTTTGGAGTCACATGTAGGCAAGACCAAGTAAGAATGGCAATTTTCTTCCCTAAAAGACATGAGTGAACCAGATGGGTTTTTCCCAACAATCAACAATACAGTCATAGTCATCATTAGATTCTTAATTCCAGATATTTTATTGATTTCAAATTCCACCATCTGCTGTGGCAGGACTTGAAATCAGGTCCCTGGTATGTTATCTGGGTCTCTAGGTTAACAATCCAGTAATGATCCACTAGGCCATTGCCTCCTTCTTTAAAGTGGCTTGCAAAAAAATGCAAATTTGAGTTGAGAAAAACATTTTTTTTCTCACAATGAATAGTTAGGGTATGGAATGCACTGCCTGGAAGTGTTGTAGAGAGAGGGTCAATTAAGTCTTTCAAAGGATATTGGATAATTATTTGAGTACAAATAATGTGTAAGGGTGTGGGGATAAAAGGAGACTAGGAGGAGGTAACAGTGCTCATTTGAAGTGCTGGTGTTGACAGGATGGGTGAATGACCTCTTTATGCTCTGTAACACTTCTGTAATTCTGGATGATGTTGAGCTGCTTGAGTCATGTTGGAGCAGCAGTCATTCAGGAATGTGGAGAAAATTGCATCACTTGAGACTTGTGCCTATGGACAGTCTTTGGGGAGTCAACATGAGTTATTTACCACAGAATTCATACCCTCTGACTTGCTCACATGGCTATAGTATTTATATGGCTGGTTCAGTTCAGCTTCTGGTCAACACTAATCGCCAGGATGTTGAGAGAGGATTCAGTAATGTCAGTGTTGCTTGTTCTTCTCAGGTGCTTCGCTGTTATGCCTGAGCCAAGTTGCCTTGCATTCAAACTACATTAATGTGTATATATAGATCATAATTTGATTTGCCAGTGATCGGGAAAGATACATAAAGTAGCTTCCTAATTCAAAGTATGAAGGCTATAGTTAAAGTCCCACTCTACAAACCTGAGGACATAATCATTTGTGGAATTGTGCAGGGCTAATTTTGTTTCATTATTATTCACTCGGAACCAGGTCTCTGGTATGTTATCTGGGTCTTTAGGTTAACAGTCCAGTAATGATACCACTGGGCCATCGCCTCCCTCTTTAAAATGGCTTGCAAAAAAATACAAATTTGGGTTGAGAAAAACATTTTTTTTTTCTCACAATGAATTGTTAGGGTATGGAATGCACTGCCTGGATGTGTGCATTGCTGGCAATTATTGCCCAGTCCTAATGTCCCTGGAGAAGGTGATGGTGAGTTTCCGTCTTGAACCACTGCAGTTCATGTGGTATAAGGACACACACACTGCTGTTGGGGAGGGAGTTCCAGAATGTTGACCCAGTGACAGTGAAGAAATGATGATTAGAGTTCCATGTCAAGATAGTGTGTGTAGTTTGGAGGGGAGTTGCAAGTGATGTTGTTCCCATGCATGCGTTGCCCTTCTTCTAGATCATAGAAGTTGCAGGTTTAGAAGTTTCTGTCAAAGGAGCCTTGGTAAATTACTGCTGGTGTATGTTGTAGATGGTACATACTTCTTCCACTGTGCACTGAAATGGATGGGGTGAATGTTTAATTTGGTAAATGAGTTGTCAATCAAGTACCACTCTCTCCGTGACTCCCTTGTCCGCTCCACACTCCCCTCCAGCTCCACCACACCTGGCACTTTTCCCTGCAACCGCAGGAAGTGCTACACCTGCCCCCATACCTCCTCCCTCACCCCCATCCCAGGCCCCAAGAAGACTTTCCACATCAAGCAGATGTTCACCTGCACATCTGCCAATGTGGTATACTGCATCCGCTGTACCCGGGTGTGGCTTCCTCTACATCGGGGAAACCAAGCGGAGGCTCGGGGACCGCTTTGCAGAACACCTACGCTTGGTTCGCAATAAACAACTGCACCTCCCCGTCGCGAACCATTTCAACTCCCCCTCCCATTCCTCAGACGACATGTCCATCCTGGGCCTCCTGCAGTGCCACAACGATGCCACCCGAAGGTTGCAGGAACAGCAACTCATATTCCGCTTGGGAACCCTGCAGCCCAATGGTATCAATGTGGATTTCACAAGCTTCAAAATCTCCCCTCCCACTACCGCATCCCAAAACAGTCCAGCTCGTTCCTGCCTCCCTGACCTGTTCTTCCTCCCACCTATCCCCTCCTCCCACCTCAAGTCGCACCTCCATCTCCTACCGACTAACTTCATTCCACCCCCTTGACCTGTCCGTCCTCCCTGGACTGACCTATCCCTTCCCTAACTCCCCATCTACACTCACCTTTACTGGCCCCATCCCCGCCTCTTCGACCTGTTTGTTTCCTCTCCACCTATCCTCTCCTCTACCCATCTTCTATCTGCCTCCCACTCTCTCCCTATTTATTTCAGAACCCCCTTCCCCTCTTCCTTTTCTGATGAAGGGTCTAGGCCCGAAACATCAGCCTCTCTGCACCTATGATGCTGCTTGGCCTGCTGTGTTCATCCAACCCTGCACCTTGTTGTCTCAGATTCTCCAGCATCTGCAGTTCCTACTATCTCTGTCAATCAAGTAGGTTGCTTTGTCTTGAATGGTGACAGCCTTTTTGACTGTTGGAGCTGCACCCACTCATGGAATGGTGGTATAGTGGTAATTCTAATAGACTAGCAATCCAAAGGCAGGTGTAATGCTGTAGAGGCATCAACTCCAGCCCATCACAACAGCTGGCAGAATTTAAATTCAATTAATTATTGAATCTGGAATTAAGATCTTAGTCTTAGTAATGATGATCTTAAAAGTATTGAATTGTTACACAAGTATACTTGGTCCACAAATGTTCCTCTGGGGGAGAAATTCTGTTACCTTTTCTGATTTGGCCTACACGTGACTTCAGAACCACAGCAATTTGGTTGACTCTTAACTGCCCACACACCAATTCAGTGGCACCAATCTGCCAACAGATAAGTCAAATTGGCTGCCTTATTTTCTAAATGGCCAGAGTGCCTAAATTTTAAACAGACTTTATTGACAGTAAAGAGCTATTGGGTAATCTAAGGTGGTGAAAGGCACTGTTTAGGTGTAATTCCTCTTTTTAAGACTAATAACTGAATAAAAGCATGCCTTTGATCTCGTGAATCTTTTCACTCTGTAATGAATAGAAAACACAAGTTTCCATTGGCATCAAGTAAACCACTCTTTCCACAGTCACCAGAGGAAACCATCTACCTAAGTGGATCTCACTAATACAATCTCGCTTACTTTATGCACCATATGGAGCAAGATCTAGCACAGAAATCTTTTGGATCAAGGATCGGGAAATGCTAGAAAACACTAACTAGTTTCTCATGACAACCCCCATCTTTTGACTGGCAAGCATTGAACTGTCATAACAAGAGTGGTATCGCTAAACAGTTTCAGAATAAAAAAGCGCCACTGTGAAGGTGACCTTCATTGCTAGGGCCTCAGTATATACTTGTGTATTTGTGAAATGGTATAAGCAATTCTGCATATAACTGAGGTCTGGAAGCTCTACAGACTAAATGATGGACTAATCAAATGAAACTCAGCAAAGCTATTACTTGGTTTGGAGATCTGCAATATCTCGCTTCATGTCATTGCCATTAAAGATGTATTTTCTAGCAGCAGTAACACTGTGAAGTAAATGGGACATTAGAAGAAATATTTAACACATTCAAAAGCAGCAACAACTGCAAAATATCTTTCTTGTTGTAAATATAATTAAATTGGGAGTCATTGTCAACTTTTGCTTTTCTAATGATAAATTATTACAGTATAGGATTCAAGACACTTCCAATTAATTTCACTCAGCAAAAGTTTATAATCTTGACAAACAGGTTTAACATTAAAGATATAATCTATTAGATATTTTGTATATCTTGACTGTTCTTTTTTGCTGATTCTACATCTGCTATTTTATCCAAAGAAATACCCCAGCACCTTTCTTATGAACTGATTAAGCACAAAGTCAATGCCACAATTCACACAACCAACATAATTGTAGCTGAAGAAAATCAGCTTGGCAATGATATGTTTCTGAATGAAATGACCATATTATTCAAGGATACAGGTAAGGCAGTTATTATAAGCACTATTCAAACAATATTATAATTAACACTTCTCTAAAATTGTGTGTTCTTGCCAATGGATTGATAGTTCAGAGGAATACAAAATGGTCATCTGAAGGGTATAGATGAACTGAATGGCAGGTGCCTTTTCCCTAGGGTGGGGAATTTCAAGGCTAGGGGGCACATTTTTAAGGTGAGATTTAAAAAAGACATGAGGGGCAATGTGTTTACACCGAGTCGTTCATGTGTGGAATGAACTTCCAGAGGAAGTAGTGCATGTGGATACAGTTACAACATTTAAAACACATTTAGATAGGTACATGAATTGGGGGGGGTGGGGGGGGTAATATGGGCCAAGCACAGACAGGTGGAACTAGTTTAGTTTGGGATTATGGTCGGCATGGACTGGTTGGACCGAAGGGTCTGTTTCCATGCTGTATAACTCTGACTGGAGATATCTCTTACTTAACTGCCCCAAAGTCCAGGGGTCCATGAGTTTGAAGAAGAATTTGCTGTTGGGTTTTGGGATGAATCTGTTTGAAGTCAGCCTGAGTGACCCTCT